TGTATTTTTATCATGGTAAAATATATGCACAATTTTCCATTTTAGCCATTTTTAAGTGCATAATTTAGTGGAATTTATTACATTCACATGGTTGTGTCTCCATTGCTATTATGTTTCCATAGCTTTTCCATCATTGCAAAGGAAATTCAGTACCATTTAAGTAATAACTACCCACCCACCCCAAGAATAACCCCTGGTAATCAGTAGTCTACTTTGATCTCTATGCATTTACGTATTATAAATATTTCATATGAGCTGTTGTTGTTAGGTGCCATGGAGTCGGTACCGACTCATAGCGACCCTGTGCACAGCAGAGTAAAATACTGCCTGGCCCTGCACCATCCTCACAATAGATGCGCGTGAGCCCATTGCTGCTGCCACTGTACCAATATGTCTCATTGGGGTGGTCCTCTTTGTCACTGACCCTCCACTTTACCAAGCATGATGTCCTTCTCCAGGGATTAATCCCTTCTGATAATATGTCTGAAGTATGAGAGACAAAGTCTCGCCATCCTGGCTTCTAAGGAACATTCTGGTTGTATTTTTTCCAACACAGATTGGTTTGTTCTTTTGACAATCCATGGTACTTTCAGTATTCTAAATCAACGCCATAATTCAAATGTGTTCATTCTTCTATTGTCTTCCTTATTCATGGTCTAACTGTCACATATATATGAGCTCACTGAAAATACGGTGGCTTAGGTCAGGCACACTTTAGTCGCCAAAGTGACATTTTTGCCCTTTGACAGTTTCAAAAGGTGTTCTGCAGCAGATTTGCCTAATGCAGTACGTAGTTTTACTTCTTGATTATTGTTTCTATAAGCCTTGATTGTGGAGCCAAGTAAAATGAATTCTCTGAGAACTTCAACCCTTTCTCCATTTGTCCTGATGTTACTTATTTGTCCAGTTGTGAGGATTTTCTTTTGCACCGAGGTGCCATCCATATTGAAGGCTGTAGTCTTTGATTTTCATCAGCAAATATTTCAAGTTCTCTTTGCTTCCAGCAAGCAAGGTTGTATCATCTGCTTGTTGCAGGTTGTTAATGAGTCTTCCTCCAAACCTGATGCCATGTTCTTCTTCATATAATCCAACTTCTTGGATTATATGCTAAGCATACCGATTAAATAAGTATGGTGTAAGGATACATCCCTCTTGCACTCTTTTCCTGATTTTAAACCATTCAGTATTCCTCTGTTCTGCTTGAACAAGTACCTCTTGATCCATGTACAGATTCCTCATGAGCACAATCAAGTGTTCTTGAATTTTCATTTTTCACAGTGTATTTCATGTGAGTGGAATCATACAATATTTTTCGTTTTGTGTAACATGTTTCAGAACTTCATTTCTCTTTGTGTCTGAGTAATATCCCATATCCCATTATATATCACATTTTGTTTACTCATCTGTTGATGGACACGGGTTTTTCACACCTTTTTGGCTAATGTGAATTAACATTGGTGTACAAGGATCTGTTTGAAACCTTGCTTTCATTTTGGGGGACATAGCCCTGTGTTAGTTATCTAGTGTTTCTGTAACTGAAATACCACTAGTGAATGGTTCTAAAAAACAAAAATTTATTATCTCACAGTTTAGAAGTCCAAATTCAGACACTTTATCAGAATGCTTTATTTTCGTGCAAGCTCTGGGGGAAGGCCCTTTATTCCTTTCAACATGGTATCCCCTGGAGGTTTCCATGTGCATTGGCATCAATCTCCTGTTGGGTCTAGTAGGTTCCCAGTACAGGGCCCTGCATCCAAAGGACATGCTCCACTCCTGGCTCTTCTTTCTTGTTGATATGAGGTCCCTTTTCCTCTGCTCACTTATCAACACTGGACTACGAACCACAAGGTCAGCAGTTCAAACTTACCTGATGCTCCTCAGAAACCCTATACAGGGTTGGTGTGAGTTGGAACCAATTCGACGGCACTTAACAACAACAAAGACAAAACGTGATGCCAGCTGCACCCTAGGGAAACTCCCCTTACATTGGATCATGGTTGTGTCCTGAGTAAAGATCTTACATCCCCTCACACCATGGATGATAATTACAGCATTCCAGAACTACCAAATTACATCGTTCCCTAACTGCCAAACCACAGAGAATCATGGACCAGCCAAGTAGACACATGTTTTGATGAGGACACAGTTCAATTAATGACAATACCCTAGGGGTGGAATTGTTCAGTTATATGGTAATTCATATGGTCATATGGCACAGGAATGGGCAATGTTTCATTTTGTTGTATATAGAGTCTCTATGGGTTGAAGCCAATTTGAAGGTACCTAACAATAGTCTTGGAGTCCTGATGTGGCACTGCAAGTTAATGCACTGGACTGCAAGGTCACTTTGAACTGCAAGGTCATCAGTTCAAGCACATCAGCCGCTCCTAGGAAAGCCTATACATAGTCGATATGGGTCAGAACCAACTCGATGGCATTTAACACCAGTAGTCTTAATATGGATATGCACTGGGCTTCTAACCACAAGGTCAGCAGTTCAAACCCACCAGACACTCCTTAGAAACCCTATTCAGAGTTGCTATGTGTCAGAACTGACTCAACAACACTTAACCTCAACAACAGCAACAGTAATTCCATGTTTACTTTCAAAAACAAACAACAACAACTTGCCAAACTGTTTCCCATAGTGCCTGTACCCATATATATTCCAACCAGTAAAGTATGGGGTTCCAGTTCCGCTACATCCTCACCACCATTTGTTATTTTCCAGTTTTCTAATCACAGACATTCTAGAAGGTATGAAGTGGTATCTCATTGTGATTTTGTGGGAGGTTTTGATCCTTCAAATAAGGCTCAAAATATAGATTATAATATTTACCCTGTTTCTTACTATGGGGTCCAGGAAATAAATCATCTTGTCCCCAAGCACCTACCCTCCAGGTCAGTCAGCGTCACTGGGAAATCCAACTGGTCTTGTTTCTTCTATGCACTGATCCCATAAAGGTGACTACCAGGATATAACTTTTCAATAAATCCTCCTGGGACCCTGTCCATCTACAAAGACAAGGTTGCTTGGCAGAGCATTGGAATTGTGAGAATTGGAATCATTATCCCTCCTACTGCTGTGCATACACATATTTGTGTTCATATCAATAACAGATCTGTCATTTTGCTGAGCTGATTCCTAGGGCTCTGTTCCCAATGAATCTTCTTCTGTAACTAAAACACGCATGCTCCACTTAGCACCTAATGCCCTAAGGTCAACACTAAGAGTTTGCCTTCTGAGCCTGGTCCATGTATACAAGTTCATCAAGGTCCTGGGGGCAATCTTATGGGCAGCTCAGATGGTTTGGATTGTCCCTATTGCTTAAACTAGAGAACCTCCCTCTCTTCCTCTTTCCATTCAACTTTTATAAACTGAAACAAGTTGGGAGACTGCCCTTGTTGTTCAGACAGTCTAAATTTTCACTGAAGCAATTTAGTGAGGGTAGCCCCAGGAATGTTTTGTTTGAAGGTCGCATGATGCGCACTCCTATCTATCACCGGCTTCTCTGGTGCTTTCTGAAATAACATCTTTAGCATCAACACAAGGGCAAATGCTTTTTTCTCTTGCTCATGATAAGTTTTTAGAAATTTGACCTTCATGGTCCTTTGCACTTTCTATACTACCGAACACCTGTTTGAGTGTCCTCAAGAATCCCAGCCAGGCTAATGGAGGCATTGTTAGCTGGGGACATGGATGACTTAATCTGCAGGGCCCCTCAGGCTTTCAATCTAGTTCTTTCTTTTTTCCGCCTCAGATACCTGCCACTCATAAAGCATCTCAGTGCTGTACTCCAGCCAGATTCGAAAGCCTCTTTACCTGAGCTGACACATCTCTCACAGAGAGCACCCTCAGTTTTAGTATCCTATGGTTTCAACAAAGGCCCAAACTGCATGCTTCAATGTAGGAAACACACTCTAGCTTCCTAGCAGGGCTCACTGTTTCTTTCCTCCATCCCCATTTCCATTCTTCATCTCTAGGAAAATAATCAACCTCTTTAGAAATTCCATATCTTAAGGAAAAGCTTTATCACTTTCCATCCACCCCCTTGTCTCAAGTAGTCCTCTGTTGTTCTTGTTGTTAAGCGCCATTGAGTCGTAGTATTGACTCATGGTGACCCTGTACAGGGTTTTCAAGGAGTGGGTGCTGAGTTTGAACTGTGGACCTTGCAACTGGCAGTCCAATGCTTAGCCTACAGCACCACACTAAGAACCTGTATTCTATAACACTCTGACAAGGTCATGTTGATTCTTTCACCCATCATGATTACACTTAAAAATGCCCCATATTTGTCCTGACCCTCCAAAAGCAACCTGGCATCACTTAAGTGCTATACTTGTCAGAGTTTTGTGGGATCACCAAAGAAAACACAGTTCAATGAGATTCCATCTCCAGTTCATCTATCTTCTAACAGTCTCAATGGTATTGCCTTGCAAATGCCCAGCAGTTCAATTCTCTTTTCAAAAAATTGTTTAGGGCAGATTGGATGGTCTAAAACACAGGTTCAGATGCAAAAGACAACCAAAACCAATTCATGGGCTCTGGAGTGGTGTGCTGGTGATGCTCCAGCATATAGGAGAAAATGAGGGCTTCATAGTAGCCCCCGTGCTTCTTCAAGAAAAATCAGTTTCCATCAATTTGATTCCATCTCATAGTGACCCCGTGTGTGTTAATGTAGAAGGGTGCCCCATAGGGGTTTTCAATGGTGCTTTTATGGAAGTAGATCTCCAGAACTTTCTTTTGAGGTGTCTCTCTGGGGAGATTTGAAATCACCCACCTGTCAGTTATTAGCTGAGCATGTAATCATTGTACCACCCAGGGACTCCAAAAGAAAGCAATCTTGTGTAGCCAGTTGCCTTTAAGTTGATTTCTAAGTGTGTGTTTTTACCTTGCAGTAGATTGCTTCCATAATGTGATGAGAACCCAAGGGGTCAGCCTTGAGTAGGTTACCTTTAGGATAACTTCTGGGTTGTAATAAGATTCACAATGTCCTTACCTGATTAAATATTTCATCAAAAGTTTGCTGTTGTTCTGCAACCTCAGCCCAAGGTTGTTTTAAAAACACTCTGGAGGTACGAATTCAGATGTGACCACTGTCTATACACAGGACGAGGCTTCTTAAGTCTATTTATGATTTCTCTCCAGATACAAGAAGAGAAAGTCTTGCAAATCATAGAGAAAGCACAAAGATTCGGCAAAGGTAATTGAGTTTTAGTAAAGAAAGGAAATGGCCAGGAGAAAACACAGAAAGGTCATATCCTTGCTTTCTCATTAACCAATAAACAGTTGCCATTGTCCTGATTCTAACTCATGGTGACTATATGTGTGTCAGAGTATAACTGTGATCCACAGGAGTTTCAATGATTTTTTTTTTTGAGGGGGGCTTTGTTGATCCTCTATATTTTTCTATCCATGAATGTCTATACTTTATTACTTCCTTGCTTTGGTTTTTTAAGGAACTTATCATTGTTCTAACTTTTTATTATGAATTAATTGAAGGTTTACATATGAGATCACCAGTTTCATAGTCAACAAATCCTACACTTGGTTTCCTGGCAATTGCAATCCCCTCAATGTGACATCACTTATCCTTTGCTTTCCTTCTGTGTTTATTGTTTCCTTTCTCCTTCTTTACCTACCCTTCTGAATTTTGTCCTTAGGTAAATGCTGCCTATTTGATCTCAAATAAGTGACCATTTGATGATGCGCATACATCACTAGTGTTGTCGTTCCCCGACTCCCACCTCCACCAATATATCTATGTATTACTTGGCTGAAAATTGAGCCATGGAGGTGAATTCAGTTCCAGACCTGAAGGGTGTCTAAGAGCCATAGTCTTGGGATTCTACCAATCTCTACTTGACCAGTAAACCTCTTTTTGTGTGTGTTTGTTTGTTTGTTTTTTTGGTGGTTTATGATTTTGAGTTTTGTTCCACTCTATCCAGGACCTTCTAATGTGATCCCTTTCAGAAATGTTCATAGTGGTAACCAGGCACCATCTAGTTCTTCTTGTCTCAGGGCCCTGGAAATTGATGTTCACGTGGTTCATTGGTTCAGTGTACTCATTATTTCCAAGTGTCTTCAATTTTCATCAGTCTTCTTTCCTCTGGGCAGGGAGAGAGAGACCAATAGTTGCACCTTAGATGGCTGCTCATGAGCTTTTAAGATCCCAGTCACTACTCACCAAAGTAGGATGTAGAACATTGTATTTGTGGAATATGTTATGTATGGCTTATTTTTTAAAGTATATCGCCAAAGTTTTCATTTAAGGTGCCTCTGGGTGGACTTGAACCTCCAACTTTTCAGGTAGTAACCAAATGTGTTAACCGTTTGCACCACCCAGGGACTCCTGCTTACTAATTGTTGTTGGTGTTGTGTGTCATCTAGTGGGTTCTAGCTCAGCAACCCTATATAGGTTTTCTGAGGATCGACTGGTGGGTTTGAACCTCCAACCTTGCAGTTAGCAGTTCAATGTTTATCCTACAGTGTCACACCAGATGAACTGAATATAAATCTGAGAAAAGGCTGTATTGGTCAGTTTGGGGTGGGGTAGGAAATTAATCAATTAGACTGTTGGTATCATTTAGGCATAGGTATTTTTATTTGTATTATTTTTGCAATGTAAAAACTTTATTAAACAAAACTGACAGGTAAAGTTCAACAGGCACTTATATGTAAGAAGAAAACTGACTGATGGGTTTGGGGTACTTGTTTGGGAAGTTCTCTGGGTAACATGACATGCCTGTACTCGTAGTACTCACTGAAGTGTTTGTCTGAGTATATATCTGCTTATAGGCTATCCTGCCAGTGGCACAGTGGGGCAGGTAGGTCAGGAATGCAAGGAAGGGGAGCAACAAAGTAGATGTCAGTGCCAGGATGCCACAAGTGGACAATTGAGGTCAACCGACCGCAGGCCCAACCTGATTATGCTAGGTTTTAGATGTAGCCTGTCTGATGTCACTTCTAAGGCTACATTTTTAAAGATCTGTGTCCCTTCACCAATGTCAAATAGTCTCAGCCTTCCAATCCCCACAATAGGCCCATTTAACCCTCCATGCAGACCCAGTCTCAACCCATGTCTAGATTTGGGGCCCTGACTGGTCCCTAGGCAAAAGGAATGGAAGAGCTCAGGCAAGTAGTTCTGGCTGTTGATCCTTGAACTTCACTTTTAGTGGGACATTTATTATATACCAAACTAGGGGCTGAGCACTTTGCATGCATTATTTAATTTCATAATACAAACAGAGAAGTCGATACAATTATGTTCATTTTGGCGGTGGTGGTTCCGAATCAGCTCTAGTAGCATAGTGGTTAAGAGTCAGGCTGTTAACCTCAAGATCAACAGTTCGAAACTACCAGCCATTTTGCAGGAGAAAGATGAGGCTTTAAGCTCCTATAAAGATTTACAGCCTTGAAAAACCTGTACAGGGTCTCTATGAGTCAGAACTGACTCCAGGGCACATAGCCACCACCACCACTGAGGCTGTCAATGATGATGGGGGCAGAAAACCTCATCTGTCTCCCATAAAGTGTCTGGTAGATTTGAACTGCTGACCTTGTAACAAATTGTAATAGCCCAACTTGTAATCCACTACACAGCCAGAGTCACCGAGAGATTAAGTAACTTGCTTGAAGTCACATGGCTAGTAAGTGACAGAGTTCAAATTTGAAATAAGGCAGTCTCAATCTACTATATTTCCAAATGTCTCGGCCCTCAACTGGGAGGTCCTAAACTCCCTATTTAGACTCAACAGCCATTAGTGACCAGAGATGTAAATCAAGCAGGATAACCTTTTTACAAAAAGAAAAAAACTCCCTGACAGCATGAGAAAATAGCTTGCCACCTTTGTACCTATTGCCACATACTTGGGCCTCAAAGTGATATCCCTGCTTCCAGCCTTCCAGTTGGTTCCGACTCATAGTGTTCCTAGGTACAATAGAACGAAACACTGCCCAGTCCTGCCTAACCTTCTCAAAACTATTAGGACTACATTAACCTGGCCATGGCATTCTCTTGCTCAAAAGCCATCCATTACCCACAGGATATAATCTAAGCTCTTTAACAAAGTGCCTAACTATGTCTCCAGGCTCATTAGTCCCATTCCCACCACCTCCAACTCTAGCCTTTCTTGCCCCACCAGGATGCTGTCCTCACCCCTGCATTGACTGTAACACCCCAATAGTGCTGCATTATACCATAGTCAGTGCCTCCTTGCCTCCAAGAAAGAATTTCAGCTGCTATTTTTGATATCTTAGATCCTTTAACCCAAGTCTGCCTTTGCCAGTAAATGTTTCTCCATTACAGCACCCTGGCCTGAGTTGCAATAGAACCCATGGGAATGAATACCTTGGCATGCAACTACCCCATCTACTCTCTAGCAGAGGGAATCTTTATCCCTTTCTCAGAATACCATCAAGTTAAATGGGTCACCTCTCTTCTTAGAGTCAGCATGATTCGAGCCCTTGGAATTCTCATAGTCCATTTAAGGAGGTAAGTAATGTCAGGCAATGGGATAAGTGCTTTCACAGAGCTATATGCACAGGTGAGCACAGAGGATGGATACCTGGCTCACACTGAAGAGGCCATAGAAGGCTTCCCAAGGTAGGTGACCCAAGTTGGATGCAGAGGAGGTTGGGGTATTCCAAGCATTCTGAACAGCATGTGCTAAGGGACAGAAGTTTGGGACAACATGATGCTTTCAGGACATTGCCCTCATGGGATTTAGATAAAATATGTGGAATGTACACTTAAGAGAGTTGGTTAGGGGCTAGAGTGTGCCTTATTCATCATGTGGGGAGTTTGCACTTCATTTAATATGTAATAGAAAACAGTTGGAGGGTTTAGAACGGAGGAATAAAATAGAACCTTGAGTGAGGTAAAAGCTGGGGCTTGGGGTGCTTTTGCAATTTTAAAACTTTGTATTTTGAAATAAATTTACACTTCCAGAAAAGTCGCAAAACAGTACAAAGAATTTTTGTAAACCCTTCACTCCATTTCCCCTAATGTTAGCAATATACATTTATACATTAATTGTACCTAGCACAGTTATTGGAGTCCTGGTGTGGCACTGTGGGTTAATGCGCTAAAGTGCAAAGTCGGTTTGAACCACAAGGTTGGTGGTTTCAAGCTCACCAGCTGCTCCTCAGAAACCCTATACAGAGTCACTATGGGTTAGAATAAACTCGATGGCACTTAACAACAACAACAAATGGAGTTATCAAGGACCCCTGGTAGTGTAGTGGATTATGAGCTAGGATGTTAACTGCAAGGTCAGCAGTTTGAATCTGCCAGTCACTCAGTGGTAGTAAGCGGAGGTGTTCGTCTCCAGTAAAGATTTACAACCTAGGAAACCTTATATAGGGTTGTTATGAGTCGGAAGTGACTCTACAGCACACAACCACCAGCCAGTACAGTTATCAAAGCTAGGAAATTAACATTGGAAAATTTAATCAATTTTCTCCCTGATGTCCCTTTTCTGTTCCACAAACCAATTCAGAATCCCACATTGCATCTATTTGTTGCATCTCAGTCTTTTCCAGTCTCATTCTTTCCTTATCTTTTATGACTTTGGTATTTTTTTTTGATGAGTAATGGCCACTTATTTCGTAGAATGTTTACCAAGTGACGTTTGCCCATTGTTTTCTCATGAATCTATTGAGGTTATACTTTTTTTTTTTTTTTTGCAAGAATACCGTGGAGGTGGTGTTGTACCGTTCTCAGTGCATTATACAAGGGCTACATAATGCGGCTGTGTCCTCTTACAGGTGATGGTCACTTGGAAAACTTGGTTAAGGTGGTTTTCTACCAGGATCTTCTCCTTTTGAGCTTACTATCATTTCCTTTGTAGCTAAGTAAGAGACGTGTGGAGACATACTTGGAGAATGTGTAAATATAGTGATTCCCCTCAAACTTGTGCTTAACTATTTTTATTAACATTAATGGAGCTTTCTGATAACCATGTGTTTTGATGAGAGATGAGAATGGAAGCCTGGGAGTTGTCACCGGAAAAGGAGCATCAGGAAGGATACTGAAAAGTTTTGTTAAGGAGTATATCAAATCAAAGAAGGAGAGGGGCTGCTAAGAAAAAAGACTGCCATTGGTACTGCAGACCCTTGGCTTGTATCACAATCTGGGGTGGGGGGATGACAAAAAAACAACTGATTGGTGGGAGAATTTCTCCCAGACGTCTAAAGCTTTATGGGTCTAAAGTCTCACCTGCCCACAACATGGGCAGCTTGAAGACTAGTAAGCTGTTAGCACAAATCCATCACTGTGTTCGCTTTTCTGGAGAATCACAGCAGCCTGGCTTGGCCTGATGATCTGGGTCATGGTGGGCCCCTGGTGGCCTTTTCACACCTCCTGTTTGCCTTTAGCAGACTAATTCATCATGCAGAAGGGGATGCCCTGGATCATCACTCCTTGCATGATGATGGCAGGTCTCCTGCAAAAGAGCCAAACCTGTTGCCCCTTGAGGCTCTCAATAGTTCAGGGGCTGTTCACAGCAACTCTGAAAAGAAAACATTGTGTTATGAATACAGCAGGAATGACTGACAACATCTACAATGTCCTCAAGGGCTCCGATTGTGCTGTTTCATTGACTGCTTTACGAGTCCAACTGGTAGGCTAGTGCCCCATGGGGTCTGAATGTATGAATTTCAGGAATTAATGCACAGAGAAATCATACTAGTCTCCCCAAGCTAGGATCATGCAGGCAGAACCAGCAGAGGTGTGAAGCAAGGCCACGGAACTCAAAGTAGACAAATTATCTGGTGCTTGCTTTGTGTCTCTCTTGAGCCTGCAAGTAACAGTTGGCAGACTGCCAGGGAAAGGCGAATGCACTGCCAGACTGGTTGCCATGGATTTGCTGTTTGCTGAGATCTATATATGTCTGATAATTTGATTGTGCCAGGGCTCAGGGATTCACATGATTTTTTTTCTCCAGGTCCTTTCTAAGAGGAGTAGAGGATCCTCAGGCCTCCTCTGTTCCTTGCACAGCTAAAAGGTGCGGCAGTTCCTTCAATTCCATTCTGTAAATATTTACTGAGGGTCTACTGTGTGCCAGTCACTATGCTAAGTGCAGGGGTGGTGTCAGAGATGAATCAGACCTAACCTTTTCCCTTGAAGTGTTCATAGACCAGTGGTAAGACAGATATTACAAGGGAGTTCGTGAGAAGGCCCCACAGTGTAGTCCAGGGAAATGAACCCGATTAAAAACCAAAACTGAGTGCCCACTGCCAGGCTCTGTGGTATGTCAGGCCCCATTGACTGTGCTTTCAGGGAGTTTATGGCAGTCAGAGGCAGAAATGTTTCAGGAGGACATCTTAAACAATTGAGAAAGAAATACACGTCAACATTATAATCAAAAGTTAGTGGAATGTTTAAGCTTCACTTATATGAAATTGCCGTTTCTGTAGGTCTAAAACAGGTGAATACCAGCAACATCATTAGGTTCAAACAAAAATTACTGTGCTGATCAAAATGATCTAGGAAGGCTTCCTGGAAAAGTTAAATCTAAGTGGAACTTGTTAAGAAGGTCAAGGATGAAGCTTCTTTGGAGTTAAGGCCAAAAGGGCTTTTCAGGGAGAGAGAACAGTTCGTGCAAAACAATAAGAGGCTGAAACAAGCATGTTGTGGGTGACGTGACGGGGTGGTGGTAAGCAGATTAGCTTGACTAAAGAGAGGGGCTCTGTTAAGGAATAATGAGAAAGGAGAAATGGGGTTGATGAAGTTGGGGAGGGAGGGTGGCAGGAAGAATGAGGGCAGAAGGTGAGAGGCCCTGAGGGCTAAATGAAGGCATTTGGATTGAATACAAAAGGCAGTAGGGGTGCAGGAGCTGGAAAGAAATTTGATGAAAGCAGTACTCAGGAAGATTAATCTGGCAACCTGCACCAGCTGGATTGCAGGAAGGAGGCTGGAGACAGGGAGGCCAGCTAGGGAGCTCTTGCAGTAAGAGCCAGCAAGGTGAAAGGGGGCTAAGGTGTGTGTGTGGAGAGGGGGCAGGACAGACACTGGGTACATGGGTACATCCAAAGGTTACAACACAGTGGACAGTGAAAGGGTTGGGGATGAACTCAATGTGTTGGATGAAGGGAGAGTTGTAGTAAATAGCAGGCTGACATCCAAATAGAGAGGTTGGAGAAGAATGTGTGCTGAGGTTGGAAGAATCAAGGGGAACACAATGGTGAAGTTTTCATCTTGTCAAATTTTGAGTATAGAGAAGGAAATCCAGGAGCCAAGTTCTGATGAATCAGGAAAGAGGGTGAATGACAGATCAGGAAGTGATGCTGGTTTATTAGTGAAACCCAAGAAAGAGAAAGAAACTCATCCCAGAATTCTTCTTTTGAGCTTGTTTTGTTGTTGTTGTTAAACGCCCTCTAGTCGGTTCCGACCCATAGTGACCCTGCATAGGCTTTCAAAGGAATGGCTGGTAAGCTTGAACCACCGACCTTGCAGTTCAAGAGACTTTGCAGCCCAGTGCATTAACTCACAGTGCCAGACCCCTGATCAAAATGGTGGGAAAAGGAATTCTAGCCTCACTCCAAATTATGTGCCCACCTTCTTTGTCCTCCTGATATCCCCCAACCCTTGATCCCCTACCAGACCACTCAGACCACCTCCCCACCCTCACCCACAGTGAAAATCTCAAATAACACTATAATGGTTTTTCCCTTGTACCCCCCTTCCTAGGACAGACATCTGCCAATAAAACTAAAAAGACTGAAAGATACTTTGGTCAAAGAATACATTTCTGATAAGAGGATTTTAGGTACCATCATTGTGGAAGGGAGGGCATATTTGGGAGCAGAGAAAATGGTATGCTGCTGCTTCTTCCTGGCATCCTCTCTCCCCTAAGCATTAAAAAGCACAAGAAGGGGGAAAGAGGGTGAAACTCTCTGGTAAAAGGTTGGGTGATTAAATACAATCATTACCAAGCAGTATTTTCAGAGAGCACTTACATGTATGCTGTTAATGGCTAAAATGAGGCTTTATCTGCACTATACTTATATAATTGAGAGTGGACAGTAATGAATACACTTAAACCCACCCCATTTCCCCATCTCCACTCTAGAGCCAAGTAAGAGCCACTAGCTACCATTAGACTTGAACTCTTAGGAAAACGAGAAAAAATTACTTTGACTTGCTTTGTATCTGATTAGGCCAATACTAACTCTAAGCCTTGCTATGGTGATAAAATTGACTTTGGAGAGCCACTTTGAACATAGAAATGGGAGACAAGAGACCTGGGTTCAAAAATTGCATAGTAACCATAAATTAGCTCACTGTTCTGGACATGTTTCTCTATCTATAAAATGGAGACTGAATCAGATGATCTCCAAGGGTTTTTCAATTAGAATATTATATTAGTCCTGCCACCTAAGATAAGGAGATAGGTTCCTTGATTATATTTTGTTTCATTCATTCGTTGATTCAATGATAATTAAACCACACCAACAAAGTCCACCTGTCTGTTAGTGTGCCTAACTATGATGGCTTGCATGTAGCTTAGCTATGATGCTAGATGCTATGCCACTAGTATTATCACATACCAGTAGGGTCACACATGATGGGGAGGTTTCTGTGGAGTTTCCAGACTACAACTAAGAAGAAAGGCCTGGCACTATAATGTAGAAAATTAACCAATAGAAACCAAATGGATTATTGTCCATTAATGTCCAACGGAACATTGTCCAGCTAACTTGTTTTGGACACATCATCAGAAAGGATCAATCGCTGGAGGAGAACATTATATTTGATGAAGTAGAGTACCAATGAGGACATGAGCAACCCTTAGTGAGATAAATTGGCACAACAGCCACAGTAATGGATTTGAACCTACAGGAGATTGTGAGGATGACTTAGGACTGGACAGTGTTATATTCTGTTGTACATAAAGTCACCATGAGTCAGTTATTTCAGTAGCTAACAGTATCAACAAAGTATTGTAGGGGTAAGACCCTACAGGATCATAAAGAGAGAAATGCTATCAACATTGCATAAGGTGTCAAGTAAAATCTCTTGAGGAAGGGATATTTATGTTGATCCCTGAGACTGAGTAGAATTTAACCAGACAGAGAGAGTGAAGGGGAAAGTGTTCCAGGAAGAAGGTACAATATGTGTGAAGGTCTGGAGATAAAGGTGAGTCTGGTGTAAACAATTAAAAGGACTTCATCTTGGATGGAACATAGAGACAGAGGGTGAGTGGCTAAGGATGAAAGATCAGAAAGGCCCAGACTTTACATAAGCCATGTAAAGAAATTTGAACTTTATACTAAGAACAGTGGAAAACCATTCAAGGGATTTAGGCTCAGCTGTAATATGGTCAGATTTACAGTTTTGTGTGTGCAGAAATAGATGGAACATTCAACCTGTACTGCAACTTGGAGAGTGACGTAAATGATGACAAAGAGACAGAGCCAGTCTACAGAAAATACACTGCAACTATACTTTGAAGAAAGGATATCATTACTAGCATCATATGAACTTTAGCTGAAAGCAGAGAATACCAGAAAAATATTTACCTGTGCCTTACTGACTATGCAAAGGCTTTCGACTATGTGTACCATGACAAGCTATGGGCAACATTTCAAAGACTGGGTGTTCCAGAACAGTTCATTGTGCTCACAAGGAACCTGTACATAGACCAAGAGGCAGTCATTTGAACAGAACAGGGAGACACAAAATGGTTTAAAATCAAGAAAGGTGTGTGCCACAGTTGTATCCTTTCACCATACTTATTCAATCTGTATGCTGAGAAAATAGCCTGAGAAGTTAGGTTATATGAAGAAGAATGTGGCATCAGGATTAGAGGAAGACTCATTAACAATCTGCAATATGCAGATGATACAACTTAGCTTGCTAAAAGTGAAGAGGACTTAAAATACTGATGAAGATCAAAGACCACAGTCTTTGGTATGGGTTGTACCTCAATGTAAAGAAAACAAAAACCCTCACCACTAGACCAATAAATATCATGATAAATGGAGAAAAGTTTGAAGTTGTCAGAGACTTCATTTTGTTTGGATCCACTATCAATACTCATGGAAGTAGCAGTCAAGAAATCAAAGAACATAGTTCTTTAGGCAAATCTGCTCCATAAGACCTCTTTAAAGTGTTGAAGAGCAAAGATGTCAGTTTGAGGACTAAAGTGAGCTTGAACCAAGCCGTGGTACTTTCAAGACCCTCATTTGCATGTGAAAGTTGGATAATGAATAAGGAAGGCCATAGAAGAATTAGTACATTTGAGTTATGGTGTTGAGAAGAATATTAAAAGTATCATGAACTGTCAGAAGAACAAACAAATCTGTGTTGAAAGAAGTATGACCAGAATGCTTCTTAGACACCAGGATAGTGAGACTTCATCTCTCATACTTCAGACATATTATAAGGAGGGACCAGTCTCTGGAAAAGGACATCATGCTTGATAAAATGGCGAGTCAGCAGAAAAAAGAGGAAGATCCCCCAATGAGATAGATGGATTGGTACAGTGGCAGCAACAATGGGTGCAAG